GGGTAAGGTCTGCGTACACACTACCCTCCCCAGACCCCACTAGTGGGATTATATTGGGTTGTTATTGTTGTTGTTGTTGTATACATAAGTTAAGTAATGTAATTTTCTTCTTTAAGAGTTGTCAAATACTATTAGGTTGAGACCTTTTTACTGCAATGTGGAGTTTCTGTCCACTCCTTGCATTAGATGCTCACTGTTTTCACTATTAATTTTGCATAAAATCTGCTACGACTTTGCAGTATGGCATTATTGCTTGGATGCTGAGCACTTGTGTTGGTCTGCTGCTTTCGTTCCTAAGGTAAACCCTTCTTGTATATAACCTTTAAGTCCCAATCTCAGTTAAGTTACAGAAGCAACTGATATATTCTATTAAAGGGAACTCATTGCACACATTTTACAAGACAAAGCTTCCTTACGGCACACCATGTCCAGTTTGTGATCTATTCGTCGTATATGTTTATCTCTTATTAGTCTATTACATTACAACATGCATATCTTCTACTGGTTGCTGTGTCTTGAATGCTTGATCATACCTTGTTTAGTTGGCTAAATCCTGGGCACTAGGCAACATGATATGCTCATGGCTAGATTCTGGTTCTTTTACATCTTTACTTATTTAATATGTTCTTTCTTTAATAACTTTTTGGTTGAACTTCTGTTGTAGTAATATCATTTTACATATTGGATATGCAGCAAATCATCAGTTCTTCTGGGATTATCATTGACAGTACCCTTAATGGTAGCATGCCTGTCTATTGCAATTCCTATATGGATTCGTAACGGGTACCAGTTTTGGTCTTCAAGAGCTGAGGATACAGGTCGTGCAGGAAGCCATCTAACGCTGGGGATAAAAGAGGTTAGTTGTTCTGTAATTTTCTCCTATTTGTATACTGCTAATATCGCTGTGGTGTCCTTCGCACTTTCATTAATTGTTTGAATTAGGTTTCCTAAATTTTCTTAAGCATTACCGTTACCAATCATTTACTTTTGACGAGCAAACTCTAACCACAGCTAGTTTGAATTGAGGCGTTTGATAAGTTGAGCTATACACTTCTAAGTTTGAGGAAACGTCTTCTTTTATCATTCAAGTCAATCCCATAACTTTCTCATCACATCACTGGTTGTTGATCTAAGAACCAAACGGCTCTTGTATCCATAGGCATTGTAGTTGATAGGATTTTTTTTTGGCATCCTTTCTCTAAAACCTCATCTATATGAGCAATGTGACATTACTTGCAAAAGATTCACGCTTATACATTCTTCTACGACTTGCTATAAGAATCATAACGGCCAATTCTGTTTGCAGGGTGCTGTTCTTTTCATCTCCATCTCTTTATTTGCCGGGTCGGTTTTAGCGCTTGGAGCAATAGTGTCTGCAAAGCCTTTGGATGATTTAGATTATAAGGGATGGACTGGTAGTCGGAATGGTGTTACATCTCCTTATGCATCATCTGTTTACCTTGGATGGGCAATAGCTTCTGGAATTGCTTTGGTAGTTACTGGCGTGCTGCCAATTATATCCTGGTTCGCAACTTATCGGTTTTCTTTGTCATCTGCTATTTGTATTGGTATATTTGCAGGTAATCCTTTCACTTTAATCTCTACGGTTCCCTTTTTGATTCTTAGAACTACAAAATAATGTCATAGTCTCTCTGTTTTTCAACCTCTTTTTGGTAGTTCATTCTCTATGACAATCCTTTTACTAATAATTTCTTCTCTTTCATGTCCGAAGCTGTTATTGTGGCCTTTTGTAGCGTATCCTATTTTGAAGTTGTTGGCTCTAGAACCGATCAGATTCCAACAAAAGCTGATTTCCTTGCTTCTTTACTTCCACTGATATGCATTCCAGCAGTATTGTCTCTTGGTGCTGGTTTGTTCAAGTGGTATGTGATATTCATTTAGAAACTGCTAATGCATTTTTAGTTATGCTGTTTTAAAGATGATGAGATATTTTTTTTTAGTCATAATATATAGAACATTTTCAGGAAAGACGATAATTGGAAGCTTTCTCGAGGTGCTTATATGTTCATAATCATTGGTCTTCTTCTTTTGCTTGGGGCCATTTCAGCTATTATAGTGACAATAAAACCCTGGGCAGTAAGTGATCATCCCTTGTGATGTTGTTTCCACCTTTAAAACAGTTATTTGACATTGTTTCTATGTTTTTTCTTCTTGTTTCAACAGATAGGGGCGGCATTCCTTCTGGTGCTTCTCCTCCTCGTTCTAGCTATTGGTGTTATTCACTATTGGGCGTCAAATAATTTTTACTTGACTAGGGTTCAAATGTTACTTGTTTGTTTTCTTGCATTCCTTTTGGCTCTTGCAGCATTTCTTGTTGGATGGTTTCAGGGTAAATACTCTTCTCCCATCTTAAGATGCTCAGATAGTTTAATCTAACGTATTACATCGTGGTACTTGATAATTGATGTCAAATCCATGTTTCTATTTCAGACAAGGCTTTTGTTGGTGCATCTGTTGGTTACTTCTCATTTCTTTTCCTCGTAGCTGGAAGAGCATTGACAGTAAGTTATACTTGATAAAGACAAATAAAGAATTTAAGCGTGTTAAAGAAATTTGTGCTTTTGGTTCCTAAAATATTGACTAATTCTGATTTTGGTCCTTGTGTTATCTGGTTAAGCACATTTACCATTCAGTTAATTGAAATGTGCACTTTTGATCCTTCTGCTTGTAAGTCTTCACTTATTTTAACAAAGTATCAACTGTTAAACTATTTAATTTCTCATGTATTATGTTAAATTTGTATTATAATTCCTTATTTGAGGGTAATATAGTTCTATAATTAGTTTTAATATAACTCCAAAAATGATAATCTAAATATAAAATATTTCCTATGTAAAAGGGACCAAAAACACACATTTCAATTAATTCAAGGTTAGATATGCTTACTGAAATATCTCAAGGACCACAATCAGAATTACTAATGACTGAAGGGGTTCATAAGTGCAATTATCCTAAGCATGTTATCTATGCCTATCTTTGCTGATTAGAGTTGTATTTGCCTTGTGCTCTTGCTTACTTGTGTTCATGTTGTGTTCCCAAAAACCCTTCTCTTTCAGGTCCTTCTTTCACCTCCTATAGTAGTCTATTCCCCAAGGGTGTTGCCTGTTTATGTTTATGATGCTCATGCGGACTGTGGGAAAAATGTCAGGTTTGTCAATTTCCTCCACTTGTTTAAGATTTACTGTGTATAGAAGTATGAAATGCAGAGTCAAAGTTAATTGTGAACTCTTAATTTTAGAGGTACACCAATTATTTAAATATGTATTTTTATTTGCAAGTATTTCACCAATCAATTTACTATCTGATATTGCATGACTTGACAGCTAATTCTACCTGAAATCATTTGTTGACAGTGCTGCATTTCTTGTGCTCTATGGCATCGCATTGGCTATTGAGGGCTGGGGTGTGGTTGCCAGTTTGAAAATTTATCCACCATTTGCTGGGGCTGCTGTATCAGCAATTACACTCGTTGTGGCCTTTGGCTTTGCTGTCTCCCGTCCATGTTTGACACTTGAGGTTTGCTTGTATATCTTGGAATAGCTGTTCTAATTGAGCTATGTAGACTTTCTTTTTTGTGTCTTTGGTGTCTGTATCATAAACTCTGTACACTGCAGTCAATGTGGTAACTTTGATGATGAGTTTTCATCAACAGTTCTTCTGCTTGTACTACCTCTTTTAATATCATGCTTTACTTTCTAACATATTCTGTAAAATTAGATGGTGGAAGATGCTGTTCATTTTCTTAGCAAGGAAACCATGGTCCAGGCAATTGCTCGATCTGCCACGAAGGTACAATCATTTTTATTAATAGCTGGTTACTCATTTAATTTTTCCATTATATGTTTTTGCTTTTAGGCTATTACTTCTAGTGTTTTTGTTTCTATAGTCCTTTATGGTCAGAACCCTTTCTGAGGGTGATTCTTGTTTTCAATTGAAAGTAGAAAATGTTTTGCCACTTAAGAGGTCATTTACATATTTTATCCAAATGGTCCCACCTTATTGCATAAGATTTTGATGGGGAATACTAAGGCTGTCTAAGGGAAGGGTACTAGGTTCTTAAGGGTTAAGGGTACGGGTAAGGGGAGAGTTCCTATTTGTCTTCATTTCTCAGGAAATTCGCGCAGCGAAAGATCCTGAATTTGAGACTTTACAACAATGGCGACCCAGTGAAAATCCCACTAGTGGGGTCTGGGGAGGGTAGTGTGCGCGCAGCTCTTACCCTTATCCCAAGAGGGTAAAGAGGCTGTTTCCGATAGACCCTCAGCTCAAGAAGATGAAAAGAGACAATATATCAGTACCATCAATAAATACAGAAAAAAAAAACAGCATCATAAGAACATAGATGAAAAGTAAAACATTAACCAGTAGATAAATCCCAGCATTAAGAGAGAAGAAAGAGTAATGTGAACTCAACATTAACCACTAGCAATCTAAGCCAAAATCCTAATAGACTAGCCTCACTCTGGTGCGCTGTAGAGATATGCACAACTACTGAAGGTATTCTTAATTAAGAATTTGAGACTTTATACACCAAATTTTTTCTCTTAAACGAAGGTATTCTTAATTAAACCTTTACCCGAAAAAGAAAATTGGGTGTTTTTATCAAATCGTCTTTTCTTAGATTAAGATGTCATCAGACCTGTAAGTTTAAGAAGGAATGCATTGAATTCCTTCTTTTTGCTCTTCGCTTAGCTACACCGGCTTACATATGCTCTACCCAGCTCCTTGTCTAGCAGCCAAGAACAAGAGAGCTACAACACTTACGTTGTTGAATGATTTAGGATCAGATGAGAAAATCATTTCGTTAAGAGGATTTAAGGTACATGGTAAGGGTACTTTTACTGGTACCCTATCAGTACCCCTACCGGTCCTTTGGGGGGGGGGGGCCTTAAGGTT